TCCGCCGGCTGGATGTCCAGGCGTCGAGGGGCAGAACGAGGAGCAGGCCAAAACTGGTCGGTGAAGGTGATACAGAAAGTTGTCGACCCGATGCCTATCCCCATGGGCCTCCTGGACAGAGACAATGGCGTGGGAGTGCACAAGCTTGGAGAGGTAGCTCAGCTTGCGGTCTCTGAGCCTGGCGTCGTGGTGGAAGAGCGCCCTGGCGTTCCACGATGAACATGAAAGAGAGGCCAAGGAAGAAACTGCTCCACACCACTGTGAGAAGAAAATGCTAAAGAGACCACTCGACCCGCTGCTCGTTGGACAGGAAGCCCGCGATCGCCGCCTGTATGCGAGCCTTGTCCATCTGGCAAGCGGTGAGGTTGGTCTGCGCAAACTCCACGACGTGATCGGCGTCCTGGCTGGGGAGGACTCGCAGAAGCGGCTGCCATTTGTGCGATAACTCTCCGCGGGCCTTGTTGGTGAAGATCTCGAGATGAGGGTAGAGCTCGTTGAGAACACGGCGAATTTGTTTGAGCAGGATCTCCGTCTTAATCTGATACATGGATTTGTCGGGCGAAATGTGAACTTCCACTCGGGCTTGAAGAGTATCCAATGCAGAAAAGCGGCGCCAACTGTTGGGTCCCAACTTGAGAGCAGTGACGGCCATCTCGACCTTGCGGGCGGCGTAGCCCGCGCTGCCCTTGAACTGCAGAACATGGCGTTTGCTGGCGGGTTCGCCCACCACCTCGAAGTCCTCGGGTGTGATGTTGGCAGCGACGAGCCAATCAGACAGCGCGTTGCCCAGGCTCTCACGGGTGATGAGGTTCTTGGTGCGGCACACAAGGATCGTCGGGTCGGGCGGGCGCGCGAAATTGGTGTTGTTTTCTTTCTTCGTGGGCACCTCTGTGCGCATGATGCCCAGCTGCTGCTGCATCTCGGCAATCTTTTTGTCCAATGCGTTGATGGTGGCGGCCTGCTTCCTTTGGGTGGCTTCAACTCCAGCAAGGCGTGACTCGACTTGCTTGCCCAAAGCGGCGTAGCTGTCATTGACTGTGGAGGTGAGCTGAGCGATGGAGCCTTGGATCTGGCTGATGGCCGAGAGGAGCTGCGACTTGGTGGAGTCGACGTACATGCGCAGGTCACCGTCGGGGTGGCCATCGCCTTGAGCAGCTGCTGTGGGAGGGACGGGAACGGCGGGGGCAGCGGTGGCAACCTGGGGATGATGAGGAGCTTTCCCGACGCCCTTACCTGCGAGCACGAGCTGCGAGGACGAAACTTGCTGGCTGGGTTGGCTGGCGAATGTGGGCATGTCTTCGATAGTCTCAATGTCGTCAACCGTGAGAGCACCAGAAGCGGCAGCACGATGAGGCGAGCGGGAGCCACTGCGCTCACCCATGACTGGGGCCTGCTGGGAGCTCGGGAGGAAATCGTAGTCAGTCTGTGAGAAGGCCGCCTGTCGGCCCTGACAAAACTTGAGCCAAAATGGCTACGGACTCCCTCCTCCTCCTCCTCCTCCTCCTCCTTCCTCCTCCTCCTCCTCCTCCTCCTCCTCCTCCTCCTCCTCCTCCTCCTCCTCCTCCCCCTCCTCCTCCTCCCCCTCCCCCTCCCCCCTCCTCCTCCTCCTCCTCCTCCACCTCCCCTCCTCCTCCTCCTCACTCCTCCGTCCTCGTCCTCCTCCTCCTCCCCGTTCCCCCTCCCCCTCCCCTCCTCTGTCCCCCTTCCCCTCCCCCTCTCCTCCTCCCCCTCCTCCTCCTCCTCCTCCTCCTCCTCCTCCTCCTCCTCCTCCTCCTCCTCCTCCTCCTCACCCCCCCTTCCTGCTCGCCCGAAGCGCCCAATTAACCAAGGGGTAACTCGGTCGGCGGCGAGCGATGGGGGGGGGGTAAATGAGAAGGAGAAGGCCTCCTCAGAAGGCGGCGGGGCTTCTCAGAAGGTCTCTGGCCTTCTGACTGGTTTCCCGTCTTCGGGGAAGGCCTAGGACTTCTCAGAAGGCAAGAGGCCTTCACCGAGACTTCTAGGAAGGCCCGCCCATTCTCACTGCCCCCCAGGCTCGAAGACGAAGGCATAATCGAGACAAAGTCGGACTCATATGAATCGGGAATCTCTGAGAACCGGCAGGTTTGAAGGATGTACTGGGCGCCGCGGCTCTCAGAGCGTTCCGGCACGCTCCGAAAGCGTCCCGGAACGCTCTGGACATACGTATCTCGATTCAAAGGCTGCCTGAGTCTCACCTGGGTCGGCTACACGCAAAAGTAACCCTAGGCAAGAGTGACGCGGATGGATGGGGCGCAAGGTGGCCAGATCCAAGCGCGCAAGCAGCCAAGCAGCCACTATCGCATCCCGCTCAGCGATCAGGGGGACCGCGGTGAGCCTTGGGCATCAGCGATGAGGGGGGAGCCTTGAGCCTTGAGCCCATGGACCCCGCATCACGCTCAGCGATGAGGGGGGCGATGGTGGGATGGGAGGGAAAAAAGGTGCCCGTTTTGGGACCTCGAGGCCCCCTTTTTGGACCCAAGGTCGGGTGTTGCTAGAAGTACCCCTGGCCCAAGGTGCCCTCAGCCTTTCGCTTCAATTTGGAGCCCCTGGGGCCCTCTGGGCCTCGTGAGGGGTGCCCTGGAGGCCGTCTGGGCCACCCCGAGAATCTCGGGGGTTACCTTGGGCCAGGGGTACTTGTCTAGCAACACCCGAAAAATGGCACCTCGAGGGGCCCCAAGGGGATCCTTTTCGGCAGTCCTCGCTGCCCCGCCTTCATTGTCCCCACATTACGCGACGCCCAAAAGCCCGCACCAAAGTTATGCTGCATCTTTGCGGGACCTTGTCTGTCCCGTCGGGGGCCCTATCCGCGTCGAATCCGTGTCGAATCCGTGTCGGATCCGTGCCGAATCCGTGTCGAATCCGCGCCGAATCCACGCCGAATCCGCGTCGAGTCCGCATCGAACCCGTGTCGGGCATTAGAGCAGACACCGGTCTCCGTGACGGGCGAGGCCCCCCGAAGGTGCAGCGTCACCAAGGAGGTCACTCCCGCGAAGGGTCACTCCTTGGCGTGCAGTCGACGGCGGCAGATTTCGCCACCAGCCGCCGCGCACCAGGGCCGGCGCGCCGCCGCCGCCGCCCGCGGCGAGCGGCCGCTCGCCCTCGCCGAAACGCGCGAGGGGCCGCCCCAGGCGCCCGCGCACCGCCTCGGCGAGGCCGAGCTCGAAGCCGAGGTCCTCTAGGGGGAGGAGGAGGAGGAGGAGGGAGGAGGAGGGAGGGGAGAGTAGGGAGGAGGAGAGGATGAGGGAGAGGAGGAGGAGGAGGAGGTAGGAGGAGGAGAGGAGGAGGAGGGGGAGGAGGAGGAGGAGGAGGAGGAGGAGGGCGAGGAGGAGGAGGAGGAGATGAGGAGGAGTGAGGACGAGGAGAGGGAGGAGGTGGAGGAGGAGGGGGAGGAGAGGAGGAGGAGGAGGACGAGGAGGAATGAGGAGGAGGAGGAGGAGGCAGAGGAGGAGGAGGAGCCCGGGTCCCCCGCAGCGTCGCGCAGGGCGCCGCCCCGCAGCGCTGCTGCCTTTTTTTCGGCGGCAAGCCCGTGTGTGTGTGTGTGTGTGATAGCCTAGACGTCCTCGCGGCCTGAAGAAACACGACCAGGAGGGGATGGGGCCGCTTTCGGCCTCTGGGTAGGAGGCCACATGCGAACCCTACCTCGCCACCCCACAATTTCTAAGGGGAGAGGTGTGGGGTTCGCTTCGTTCGGGACCTCCCGAGCGAGGTTAATTCCACCTCCCTCCTGAGAATTCGTGGGGTGGTGGGGTGGTACGCATGTGGCCTCCTACTGGGGGCCCTCGCTGGGCCCCGGGACCGTCGAAAACCGACCCGCGATGAAAAACCGGCCCCGGGGAAAGTAGAGAGCAGAAAAGCCCCCCCCATAAGAAACACCCTGACAAGCGAAGCCGTTTGGCAAACGCACACGAGAATGGAATCGAGCAGGGCAGGGCTGCTCCGTAAACGCCCAGGGCCGTGCAGTAAACGCCAACTGTCGGGGTCGTTTTTCCCTACCTAGGCTCTGCCTAGAAGGGTTCTTACTCTCTAGCTTAAAGGGGCCAGGCAGTGCTACACGCCCCGGGCGGTTCCCCCAGTCCCCTGGGAGCGGTTCCCCCCAGTCCCCTGGGAGCTTTAGCTTTAGCTTTAGCTTTAGCTTTAGCTTAGCTTTAGCTTAGCTGTAGCTTAGCTTTAGCTTAGCTGTAGCTTAGCTTCAGCTTAGCGTTTCGCTTAGCTTTTCGTTTAACTTAGCGTTTAGCTTAGCTGTAGCTTAGCTTTAGCTTAGCTTGAGCTTAGCTGTGGCTTAGCTTTAGCTTAGCTTTAGCTTAGCTTTAGCTTAGCGTTATCTTAGCTTTAGCTTAGCTGTAGCTTAGATTTAGCTTAGCTGTATCTTAGCTTTAGCTTAGCTTTAGCTTAGATTCAGCTTAGCTTTAGCTTAGCTTTAGCTTAGCTTTAGCTTAGCTTTAGCTTAGCTTTAGTTTAACTTTAGCTTAGCTGTGGCTTAGCTTCAGCTTAGCTTTAGCTTAGCTTGAGCTTAGCGTTACTGTTACTACTAATGCTGCTTTCCTAGGGGTTCCAACTCCTAGGTAGGGTCGCACTGGGATATTTTTTCCTCACTTGAGAAGGGGTCGTCGGGACTTCCGGGGGCACCGTACTGAAACAGTTCAGACATCGCATGTCTTGGATGGGGAAAGGCTGAGAGCGCCTCCAAGCCCCGCCGTCTCCCAAGGAGATGGGGTCGGAAGATCGCGCCGCATCGCCGACCCATCGCCGATATATCGGCGATGCTTCGTCGACGCCGGCAATGCATCAGCAACGTCGACGTGGAGAAGAAAGGGCTCGATGTGGACCGCATCGCCGATGCATTGGCGATACGGCGCGCTCCTTCGACACCATATGCATATGCAGTGCGGACGCGGCCGCAAGAAGCCCTCGCAGGAAACTCGACCCTGAACATCTGCGCGCGAGCTGCAACCGGTGGGACATCGACGGCACCCCTGACACATCAGCTCCTAACCGCCCTCGGGACGCCACCCGCCACCGGGGGGAGAAGGCGCAAGCGACGAAAACCCAGGGAGCCCTGCCAAAAGCGACTGTGATTGGCCGATGTTTCCACCACCTCTACAAACAGTTAGAAAGGACGGAGGAGGACTAGGAGGATGAGGAGGGGAGGGGAGGAGGGGGGGGGGGTTGGGGGGGAGGGGTTGTGGGGGGTCGAAAAAAAAAGGAGAATGAAGAGGTAGAAGGATGAGGAGGAAGTAGAGTGGAGGAAGTAAGGGTGAGGAGTAGTGAGGGAGGCGGAAGGTAGGAGTGATAGTGAGTATGGAGGAGGAGGAGGAGGAGGAGGATGTCTCCCCGTCTCCCTTCATCTCTTCGTGGCAGCGTAAGGGGGGGCGGGTCGGGCGCCCCGTCCTCCCTGTGGCAGTGGTCGTGGAAAATTCGCCCATCAGACTTGTTTCTAGAGGTGCGGCCCCGCTGCACGCACTCGGACCCCGCTTGGGAGGCCTAGTCTCTCGCGGCCCCCCGCGGCGCGCCGCGGAGCCTTGGCCTCCAGCGCTTCCAGCTCGTGCACCAGCGCCAGCTCCCGGGCGTGCAGGTTGGCCTCGGCCTCGGCCCTCACGGGCTCGAAGGCCTCGTGGACCCTCCTCTGGACCTCCTCCTGCGACCGGGCCACGAGGTCGTCGACGAGGGCCTTCTGGGCCGACTCGGTGTCACCGCCCTTGGCGATCATGGCCCGCACGCGCTGCACCATCTCGTTGCTCGCGAGGTGGCCAGAGTGGACGTCCTGAACCATCGCGACCACTCGGTCCATCTCTTCCCGCAAGATCTCGTCGCGGATCTCCGCGTGCCACACCTGGGGGGCCGTCAGCTGTAGGGTGGCACCGTAGGTCTCTGCCTGGGCCCTTTGCTGGCAGGGCAGGCGGAGCAATGCCCCGCTGCAGAAGCATCCAGCACTTGAGCAAGACTGCCACTGGCTTCGCCATAAGGTGCGTACCTGACAGCCGACAGCAAACACGCCTGCGACGGCCTGCAAGCGGATGCGCCGTTTGCTGTGCGCTCAGCGGCAGGGCGCATTAACCTGGCGTGCCCCCCCCCCCAGTGACTTCATGCCTGGAGTTCAGAAGAGTCTAGGCTAAGAAAGCGTTCTCCACTCTGAACAATTATACGAGCACCTTGCGCAACCACAAATCCAAATGATCGCCTAGCTGCTGAAAACGCACGCTCTGGGCGGAGCCGCAGGGAAACATCGAAACAACACGCCTGAAGCACTGGGTTGCATCGCGGTGATTCGGAAAAGCTTTTTTCAGCCTGCACTTACGACCAGAGTACACACGCAAGACAGCGTAGCTCAGACACTCCAATACGTACTCATCAACCTTTACACAGATCAATATGCAACACATATGCAACAAAGATCAAGGAATACAGCTCTTCCACAACAAACGTGGATTTCAGGTCCCACACAAAAATGAACGACATAGAATTAGTGAGAGAGAAAGAGAGAGAACGGACGATACAGACACCATACACCAAGAGGAATAATACTCAAAACTAGGACCCCACACAATTGGAGCACATAACCGAACCCAAACCGATACATGAAATCATAGGTGGCACATGCTGTACAACACAAGCTATTGAGACCTCGACATGTTGTGAGAAATCTCAGCTCTCCCCTGAAATCTTGCGCTTTAGCATGACTAGTACCACTGCAATGGTGAACTACACTTGCAGAAACAACCTCGTCTCCACAGACAAGGCCCAGGGCCACGTCCAGATTCTTGATTGTCCTATGCGAAATCTGGGCCACATGAAATGTGATGTTGCTTATTGACATGTCGAATGGGATGCGAAATGCAAAGCATTGCTTGGCATTGCATGGGATCGCCGCTTGGCATTGCATGGCATCGCTGTTTGGCACTGCTTGGCATCGCTTGGCATTGCTTGACACTGCTTGGCCTTGCTTGGCATTGCTAGGTATTGCTAGGCATTTCTTGGCATTGCTTGCTCGGCATTTTCTCCTGGCATTGCTTAAGTTGCTACCTATGTCTTGGCATTCCTTGGCGCTGCCTGGGCAACACCGACGATCCTGGGCAGCCCCGAGGAACGCCCTTGACGAAGGGCCCCACACCGACCTTCGGCAGAGACCAATTGGTGAACAGCTCCGTGCTTCAAATTGTGCCCGAGGTTGCGCATTCGGCGATCGAGATAGAACGGCCTTCTAGCGGTTGCTCGATAGATGGCGCGCTCGGTGGCCAATCACAAGACGGCCTGCTTTTGCTTGCGCCATCGGTTGCTCCATCTGCGCTATGGCATAATCGAATGGTCTGCGATCGGTTGCGCCATAGATTGCGCACTCGAAGATCTATCATAAAACGGCCTGCCTGGACTTGCACTATAGGTTGCGCACTCGCCGCGGAAGAATGGAACGGCCTGTTGCAACGGCCTGCTATTGGTTGCGCCATACGTTGCACGCTCTGCGGCCGAAAGCACAGCGGCCGCCTAACAGGGGCGACCTATCCAATCCACATTATCCCGCGAGAACCAAGTTCGGGCCACACCCGGAATTGGCAGGTAAGCGGATGTTTGGTCACATGGATGCATGCCGATGAGAGAATGTGATTACGTAAGTGGGCAAACGGATACGCACAGGTATCAGTTAGTGGTAAGGCGAGGCAGCAAACAACGTAGGAAGACAAACACATCCCATCCGACAGCGACGCGAGGCGAAGACGGAAACCTCCAGCTCCTCGTGCGTGATCTGCCGCTCGTCTTCCAGAATCTCGAGGGCGCCGACAACCTCCTGCTGCCTCTCCGCCAGCTGCCGAACACCTGCCGACGCCGGCCCCTCGCCGTGGCCAACCGAGGCGCCAGAGCAACTGGGGCGCAGCTGCGGAGCACGCTGCCGCGCGGCGGCCCTCCCGCCACGGCGCGGTCCCGCGGAGGTCGAGGCGCTGGCCTCCGGCGGCGGCCTCCGGCGATCCACGCCGGCTGCCGCAGGCGGCGGCGCAGGACGGCTCGCTGGCGGCCCGCCAGACGTGGCCCTCGCAGACTGCCTCCCTCGAGGCTCCGGCCTCGCACCCGGCCAGGCGGTGGCGCCTGCGCCAGCGCCAGGGGACCTCGGGCAGCTCTCGGAGCACCCCAGCAGAACGTGCGCGATGGACCGGCTCTTCTGCTCAGCGGCGCGCGCGAGGGCTGCTTAGCAGGAGGGCTTCTTAGCAGGAGGCTGCTTCTTAGAAGGCGCCGGCCTTCAATCTATAGATAAGGCCCGCGCCTTCTGAGAAGCCCTTCCCCCTCCCCCCATCCCCCTCTGCGCGTGGTTGATCTGCGGAGCAGTGCAGCACGCCTTCTCCCCGAACCAACCCCCTCTGGACGGATTACTCCTCGCCTACATCCCTGTGCATCACTGGGGGCAACAAGAGAGGTCCCGATGTCTCGCTACTCCCCGGATCTCTCCAGGGGTGCGTCCTGACCAGGATTTCGAAGTGAATCCAGCCGTGGCGGCGAGGGAAGGGTAGCGGTATCGGTATCTGCTCCGCCCCTGCCCTGCCTACAGAAAGACGTAGTTGCCTGCTCGCTGGCGGGGGCCAAGCGATGACGCTTCCAGTCGCCCAGGCCTGTCGCGCTGCCGCGAGTGGTTGGTCTGCGGGCGGAACGTGCATTCTCGCATCTCGTCAATCTCTCGCAGCAGCGCGCGCTCCTCGGCGCGGCCCCGGTGCTCCGCCTTTCGCCTCAGGATCTCCTCCTCGCGCTCCAGGTGCGAGCGGGTGTCCTTCTGGCGGTACAGCTGCCTTCGCGCCCTGAGGCCATGGCGTGCGTTGGCCACACGCTGCTGCTGCTCGCTCTCTCTCACCTTCTCCCCCAACGCCTGTTAGGCTTCCAGCACGATATCCGACCCGAGGGGTCGGCCTTTCCAGGTCCTGGGAAGCGCATCCTGCCCCAAACGAATGTATCGGCATGGCGATCGAGCATCTGGCCCAAACCCACCAAAGATCTAGGCTCCAGAATGGCAGATCCCTCGGATCGGATGTCTTGTCGGGGCTCGACCTGCAGCTCCCGCCGCCTGAAGTCGCGGCGGAGCGCCTCCTCGTGCAAGGCGAGGTGGACCGGGTCCGTCAGACGGTCTGCGTCCGGGGTGCGGGGCTGCGGCTGCGGGCTGCTCGGGCGAGCTCCGCGGTGGTCCGCGGCTGAGCGGAGGGGGGAAGTGGGCAGGCCGCCTCGCGCCGCCACTCCAGCGCCCGCGCCCGGGGCGGGTGCCGTGGGGGTGGGGCTGCGGCTGCGGGCTGCTCGGGCGGGGTCCCTCGCGGGGGCGGTCGCCGCCAGCGGCTCCGCGGCGCGCCACGCCTCGGTCGTGGGGGTGGGGCTGCGGCTGCGGGCTGCTCGGGCGGGGTCCCTCGCGGGGGCGGTCGCCGCCAGCGGCTCCGCGGCGCGCCACGCCTCGGCGGTGGGGGTGGGGCTGCGGCTGCGGGCTGCTCGGGCGGGGTCCCTCGCGGGGGCGGTCGCCGCCAGCGGCTCCGCGGCGCGCCAGGCCTCGGCCTCTGCGCAGGGCGAGGCCGCCCAAGCGGTGGCGGCGGCGACCTCCCTGTAGAGCTGCATCGGCGTGGCCACGGCCGAAAGCACGCCGCCACGCACCACGCTGCTGGGCACTGCGCTGCTGGGCAGCCCACTGTAATGAGCCACGCCGCCAGGAAGCGCGCCGCTGGGCAGCGGCGTGGGCAGTGGCTGCCACGCAGTTGCCGGCACCAGCGCGCCCTGGTAGACCCGCATCACGGGGGCCACTGGCTGGGTGCCTGTGAGCACGCTAACTGTCCATGCACAGTCCCAGAACTCGTACTGCAGAGCCTCAATTTGAAAAGGGGAGGCGTTTTTCTAACTACCGCCGACTTCCCCAGGGCTTCTGCCCGCTTCCCCTGGCGAATCAGCCCTCGTCCTGCTCCCGCTGGCCTCTGCGGACCTTCCGCCGAGGGCGAGACGAGGACTCCTCGATCCCCCGAGTGGCAAGGGCGAGGCCGTCTCTGTAACGCTCCAGGCGGCCCATAGAGAAACAAACAATGACATGCGCGCGGATTTCTTGGATCGGCGCTGGCCTCCCGTCCCTGACGCGCGGAGCGCGCCAGGGGCGGCGCCGGAGGCGCCGCCAGGCGCCAATCCAAGAAACCCGCGCGTGACTCCGAGAGTTTGTGCCTATGCCGCTCCTTCTGCCTCGAGGGGGGGGCCCGATGCGGGGCCGAGACGCCCGCGCGCACCGTCGAACCGTTGATGCCATGCTCTCGTCCTCGGCCAGTGGCCACGCGCCGTGCAGAGCGGCGCAGGATCGGCCCCCGGGCTCTCCCCCCCCCCAAGGGGCTGCCCTGGCCGGGCCCCCGCAGCCGCGCAGGCCTGCGCCCCCCGCGGGCGGCCACGGGCGGCGGCCGCGCCCCCCTTGCCGTCGCTCGGGCGTCCATTTCCCCGTGCACTGCTCGACTTCGTGCGCTTCTTTTCTTCGCAAGGTGGCCCGGGATGCTCCTCGATGGCCCTCGCGGCAGAAAGCATGTTTGTTGTTTTTTTGTGTTCTCCCGACGCGGCTGCCGAGGAGTTCTTTGCCCCGCGCCGCTGCCTCGGGCGCGGCTAATCCCGAACGATATGATTATTGCAACAATCCAGCACGGATGCCGGGCCCAGGGGGTGCAGACTGGTACGGCATCCCTGTCGCTCCTGGCAGATGGCGTGCCGGCAGAGGGGGATCGCCCCAGAGGAGCTGCGCACCGATATCGCGCGGACCAGCTCTGCGTGCAACTCTAGCAGCAAAAAGTTAAAAAGACGAACGGCTGGCATGGCTGGCGCCGAAGGACGGCCTCTGCCGCCTGCCGCCAGGTGCCAAGCCGTCTCTTGGCCCGCGAGAAAAGGGGGCCACGTGCAGACACAGAGGGAGGAACGAGGGGGGGAAGGGCAGGGAGCGGGAGGAAAGGAGAGCGGAGAGTGCAAACTCGAAGTGGTCATAACACACGAGTTGCCTCAGCGAGCAACTGCCCGTCTACTCAAGCGCTGGTGCCGAACGTCCATTCCGCGCGAATTGATGCGATGGGCCTTGCCCCTGTTTGCCCCAAGCAGAGGGCGCAGTTTCGGATACTGGGAGTCGCTGTTGCATGGCCCCATCAGCAGCGCATATAGCCTGCTCAGATCCTCCCGATCGCCTTGTTGAAGCAGTTCATCCAGTCGTCGAACTTCTTGAAGGGGTGGAAGGCGGCCCTGTCGGGGCTGTCGCAGTCGCCGGCCCCGCCCTGGCCCGGGCCCACGCAGAGGTCGTCGCCCACGAGGCGGAAGTCGAGAAGCCTGCCCACCCCGATCTGGTCCATGCAGCGGGTGAGGAAGAAGTCCTCACCCCAGTCCGACCACGGCAAGTCCTGCTTGCACTTGTACGCGTTTTGCGCGTAGGCCCTCATGGCCTTGTTCGAGAACACCTCGACGGCCCCGTACAGCATCGGGAAGGAGCTCGAGCTCGGCCACGCGTTGCAGTTGACGACGTACAGCTTCCCGTCGTGCTCGCCCCAGCCCGTGTGGGGCGCCAGGTGGGTCCGCAGGCGGTCGGGCAGCAGCACCGCGTCGGGGTCGGCCTTGATAGTCCAGTCGTAGAGCCAAACCCTGCCGTCGTTGAACAGCTCGTCCCAAATCGCCATGAAGAGCTCAGTGTTGCCGGCCGTGTTATCCTTGGAGACGCCGACCGCGATGTCTGGGGTCTGCATCGACGTCGTGCCGCCGATGTCGATCACCTTGTCCGAGAAGACGACGAAGCCGTCACAGTTGAAGACCCCAGAGCGCGCGTCCCACTGGGCTTGGACCAGGGGCAGCTCGTAGCCCTCGGTGCGCATCACGATGAAGCAGAACAGCGACGGCCACCCCTTCTCGGCGAGACCCGGGCTCCGCCCGCCCAGCGTGTCGCAGGACCAGGTGTCGTCGTTGTCTTGCGGGTCCGGGCCGGGCGTGCACGACTGCTTGCAGACCGCCCAGCCCTGCGCCTTCATGTAGCACTGGTCCCCGACGGCGAGGCAGCACTGCGTCTGCGAGCAATCCTCGACGCCGCTCTTGGAGCAGGTGTCCTTGACCCACGGGGCGACCCTGCCGCCCCTCGGGGACGGGCTCCAGCCCGGCGCTGGCCACGGCGTCCTCGGGCCGAGCTCGTTGCAGGTCCAAGGCTTCTCCCACTCGTTCTCTGGCTGCTCCGTGGAGCACTCCGCCTTGCACTGCGCCCAACCCTCCCCCATCTCGTAGCACAGGTTGCCGGACGTCTTGCAACACTTCGTCTTCGAGCAATCGTCCGCGTCCCCGGAGCACTCCTCGTCGACCCAGTCGGCTTTGCCGGCCTTGGTGGGGCCCATCTTCCAGCACCTCCAGGGCTGCGAGTCCTCGTCCGCGTAGTCGGGGCCCGGCGTGCAGAACTGCCTGCAGGTCGCGTAGGTCTCGTTCTTCGAGAAGCAGGTGGAGCCCGGCTCGTTGCAACATTTGCTTTCCGTGCAGTTGTCCCCATTCTGCGCGCACTGCAGCGGCTCGCCACTGGCGCGCTCGCCGACCTCCTCGCAGCTCCAGGGGGACGAGTCCACGTCCGCGGGGTCGCGCCCGGGGTTGCAGCTCGCCCTGCACTCGGCCCAGTCCTTGTTCTTGGCGTAGCACTGCATGCCCTGCTCGGAGCAGCACTTCGTCTTGTAGCAGTCCTCGGACGATCCCGAGCAGACCTTCTCGGCCTTCTTCTCCATGCCGCTGCTCCTGGTGGCGTTGCTGTTGACGGGGGCGGCCGCAACCTTGCCGCTCTTGCTCTTGTTGGAGGCGGCGCTGGGGCCCTTCCCGCCCTTGGCCTTCGCGTGCTCTTCCCAGTGGGCCGCCTGCTTCAGCATCTTCTCGGCCTTGACCGCCGCCTCCTTCGACACCTTGCATGGGTCCCAAGTCTCGGAGCGGTCCATGTTCTCTAGATCCTTGAGGTCGTCGAGGTTGGTGAGCTTCCGACGCCGCTCGCACGGGTCCTCCACAATGAAGACGTCATCCTCGTTGCTCCAGTTCCCCTTGGCAGACCGTGCCGGCGCGCTGGCCTCCGCCTTCGACTGCGGGTGCGGCACGTGCCGGAGGGGCGCGTCGCTCGCGCGGGTCGCGGCCTGGGTGTGCAGCGCCGCCGCCAGGGCCGCCACCGCCGCCAGCGCCCCGGAGCCGCACGCCACCCGCGCGAAGGGTCGACCGGCGGCCGTGCGGAAGGCGGCCCCGGAGTCGCTGCCGCTGGCCAGCAGCGCGTCCGCCTCCACCGCCCTCGCGCTGCCTGCGGCCCCAGAGGCCATGGGGGGGGACCGCTCGCGCCGAGGATGGGGCTCCCGGACCTGATCACGGCGGCCAAGCCGCGCGGCTCCCACAGGGCAGAGCGCCTCCTCGAGCTTGAGCCAACCCACGAGCGATGCCCAGCCCCGAAAAATCCCCCGGAAGCGCTCAAACAAGCACCCGAGACCCGGGTGGCCAAGACGCAACAATCAGGCTGATCCGTGGCGTTGGAATCCCGAGAACAATGTTTTGGCAGGCTCCAGGGTCTTCAAACGGTTGTCGACCAACGAGGCATTTCCCTCTGTGGAAATGAACCGTTGCAGGGGCCTATGAAGAGGGAGCTTGAAGAGAGGGTTTATCCCAACATCGTTGATGACTCTTGGGTTTACACTGGTCCTCCTCCTCCTCCTTCTCCTCCTCCTCCTCCCTCCCTCCCTCCCACCCTCCCTCCCTCCCTCCCTACCTCCGTCCCTCCCCTCCTCCCCCTCCTCCCCCTCCTCCTCCTCCTCCTCCTCCTCCTCCTCCTCCTCCTCCTCCTCCTCCTCCTCCTCCTCCTCGAGGGGCAGCAGGCAGCGGGCACTGCAAGGAGGAGCGCCGGGGCTACGATGGCCCAGGGCCCAGGCCGCCCCCCTCCTGGCCTCCCACCTCACCTCCTGGCTTTCCTTCTTCTTGCACGCCAGACAATTCGCATGCCGGTTGCCCCGATTAGCCGCACGCTGGAGCGGACCGCCTCTGCCTCGCCGCCGAGGAAAACAAGCGCTCCTGGTTGGCCTCCGACGTGCACCGCCGCCGGCCGACCGCCTGCTGGAACCAGCTCGCCGCCTCTGCGGCTGAATCGTTAATTAATGGTAAAAGCCACGTCCACATCGCAGAGCGGGGGTCGGCTGGGAAGAGGTTTGCCGCTCCTGGAACGAAAACCTTGCCCCCATTGGTGGCCGCCGCGATCGCCGCGGCGACCTCCCAAACGGACCTGGAGGCTTGCTTCGGGGCCGGATATTTCGCCGATGCATCGGCGATGCATTGTCGACGTGGGCGACGCCTCGGCGACGTCTTCGCGGAGAAGATCGGGCTCCACATCGAGCTGCACCGCCGATGCATCGGCGATGCGGCGCCATCCTTCCATCCCATCTGCTCCGACCCTACCTGGGAGGCCCAGAGGTTCGGGGTCGGATATGACGCAACGACGACCTGCGCCCGCCGGCCAGCCCGCGCAATGCGCCGCCAGGGGGCCGCCGCAGAGCGGCAAGGCCTGTGGGGAAACCAAAATAGGCACCGATACCGCTGCTCCCCGAACCTCTCCCAGGGTGCGCTCTGACCCGAAATCTCGAGGCGAATCCAGCGGTGGCGACGCTTCCTGGAGGCCCAACGGTCATTCACTGTCCCCAAATGCGTGGTTGAAGTGGGGTTCCGCGGTAAGGAATGTTGTTGTTCCTATTTGTTGTTGCTGTCGTCCCACTCGCGACCCGGCCCGCGACCCACCTGCGACCCGCCCGCAACCCGCCCGCGACCCACCCGCGACCCACCCCGCGCCCCACCCCGCGCCGCCCCCACCTCACTCTAATCCGCAACTGCGTGGTGCTACACACCGGAAGCTAAAAGCGAATCGCTCCGAAACAAAAACATCGAGACTGTATTCGGCTACACGCAAGAATGACCCTGGGTAAGAGTGACCTTTGGTGCGCGGCTGTTGGGGAGCCGCGGAATGGCCAAATCCAAGCGCGCAAGGCGCAACTAGCGCATCCCTCTCGGCGATCGGGCACCCCGTGGGCCTGCACTCAAGGTTACTCTGGCGAAAGGTCACTCCTATTCTGCGGCAGCTCATGGGAGCCTCCTTATACAATCTCGTTGGCTCTTGCGAATCGACGCTAAGCCGACGCTACTCAACACAGTCGACGCTACATCGGCGCTTTCTAAAGCTAATCGACGCGAGCGCGCTCTCTAAAGCTGACAACGCGAGCGTATACCAGGCTTTCATGGTTTGCTACCGAACTCTCACGTGTAGCCGAAATATCGGTAGTGAACGGTACTGATTCGGCGTTTCGACATTGGGCGGAAGCTGGGGCGAGGGGTTTGGTCTTGGCCCGGACATCTGCTTAGTGCGACTGGTTGCAGCAGTGCGTCCTATGGGGGAGACTCCACCTGCTCGAAACGGGCGCCAAAAACAGCCATGCCCTACTCAATGCGGGGGGGGGCGGGGGCCCGCGCCGGTCGGCAAGACAGTGAACACGAAAACGATCACGTACCAAATCCTCCTCTGACGCCTGGGCTCGATACCGATACCGCTGCCCCCCGGGCCTCTCCTGAGGTGCGCTCTGACTAGGATTCGGGGCGAATCCAGCGGTGGCGACGAGGGCCTCCCAGGAGGCCCCAAGAGGGGACCAAATCGGGCGAGGGGGTGCAGCTTAGGGGCACCTCCCCCTTCTTCGAACGAGCTTCTCCTCGTCCTCCTCCTCCCTCATGCTCCTCCTCCAACGCCTCCTCCTCCTCCTCCTCCTCCTCCTCCTACTC